CCAAACATTTACTGCTAAACCTGATGGGTCAGCTTTGATTGCAAATTATGTGTGGTACATTTTGAATTTAAAGAATGTTTCTGAGATTATTCTGAGATCACTTTTCATTTTTATGTGTGCAGTAATGTGTATAACTTGGATTTCAACAATATCCATTGTTTGAAAGTTAGAAAATATTCTAAGAATACTAATTATCTTGCTCAAATAATCATTTACATACAACTGTCACTTGATTGTGGTGCATATTTCTAAGTAAAATTATATATTTAAGGTGTGCTACCTCTAATGCTATTGACATACAAAAAGCAGATTATTGAACATGTTAATGTAAATTGTACTTTTAATTTTTTCTAATACTGTAGAACATGTGTAAGCTTAAAAAAAAATTTAAATTACCCAGGTTTTTCTTTTTACATAATAAGTGAGAAGAAATCACAAAGGAAGCAGATATTATAACATGACATTGTTTTACTTTATTTTGATGACCTCACAGCTGTATAAACATGACAGTGCTATATATGATCAAAGTAAGAAATTAAAGAGTTAACAGTTCTTTATAAACCCGAAGGTCGTTAACTTAAGATAATGCTGTCTTAAATATTTGTTGGTAAATTGTGGTGATAAAGCTGAGCCTGTGGGACTGTGCTTTGTAGTACTGTTTGATTTAATAACTAATAAACCCTTAAGAATATTAGGAAAAATATCTTAATGCTTACATTAGCAAATATTGTGAGTTTATAAAATAATCTGCCAACACTGAGATGTACTATAAGGCCAAGAAGAAAAGGAACAATATCTAGAGTCTTGTCATTTTTGATAGTCATTGTTTTTAGAGATTTGTTTAACCTAACATATATTTTTGTTTCTTAGCATAGAAGAGAAGAAAATCCAAAGCTCAGGTAGAAAATTTAGAAATGAGATAAAAGACCGCCCACTAAAAAGTGTTAAACAGTTAAAACTGGAAACTAATATTCAAATTATTTTTCCATCTGTGTTTCCCTATTTAATATGCAATGTAGTTTTCTTGTAACAGAAGAATGCTTCTGCTATCAGGCTGGATTGAGGTATCCACACTAAGCCTTAGCTAGATAGCACTCTGACCCCCAGCTCAAAGTAAAGCAAGCATTCTTCCATTTAAAACTGAATTTCCACAGTACTGCCTTAATACTAATACTTCCTCTTCATTTCCTTCTTAACAACATGCCTGAAACAAAAATGACAAAAATAATTATTCCTGTATAAATTAGTATGGAGAGCTTTGGGGTCATACTCTGTGACCATTGCCAGATTCCTTAATTTCTCTGTATGCTTTTCCCACTTGTGAAACAGGAATATGTACCCACAGTTTAAGGTAGCTATAAGATTAAATAAGGTAATGTATGTTATGCACATTGCATAATCAGCTTAATGAGTTTTCATGAGTATAAATTTTTGTTGTGTATTCCACTACCCTTTGCGTATAGAATCCGTATAGTTACACTGAACCTAGATTTTTAGTAATTCTTTTTTGAAGTTACTAAATAATTGATTTACTTATAACCAACAAAACAAAAAACCACATAAAATAGAGAAAAACTATGTAAGTTCCTTTTTAAAAAGTAGCACACAGTATTTTTTAGTTTCAATAATTAAAGGAATTTAGACTGGATATGAACGTGTTAGAATGCTTTAAAAATCGATTCTAGCTAATGGAGAGAATGTTTTTAAAGTGAACTATTGCCATTCCTTCAGTGAACCACATACAACAAGAAAAAATTCACATAAACATTGAAGGAAAGACAAACTCTTCCTTATACAAGTAATGAGAATCACAGCGATTTGCCATGGGGAGTTAGAATGTAAAGACTCTTTTCCCTGTGCATTATCCCCTAATGTCTAGGACCAGCTAAGTAGCCTCTAATTTTAAATGTGCAATTATCCAAATAAGATGAATGTGCAGGGCAAAACTGGATAAGAATGTCGATCTTAATGTTAATATTTTTATTCTCCTTCATAATCGACATGTAGTTGGCAAAAGCCAAATGTCTGTGAGATCCCTAAAGACCACAGCTAACTCAGGAGAAATGTAACCAGCTTTATCTTACATCAACTGTGAAGATATGGCCCGAGGGACACACATCCCAGAATAAGCCCCTTTCCGTTGTCCTTTACAGTGTTTTAAATCAGTTATTTTAGCTTGACTAGATTTATATTTTGTAAAATGCAAACTGATAAAGCATGACAGCATTCGAGACCTGGAGTTAGCAACCGAAGCTTAAACCTCTGTGTGTGTGTGTGTGTGTGTGTGTGTGTGTGTGTGTGTGAGATGCGCGTGTGTGTATTTTTTCTAAAACATTACATATAGAGATGTAGGGAACTGTTTAAAAACTGGAAAGAAAGACATTAGAAATCATAATCTACTCCCCTAATATTACAAATGAAAGGAACCAAGACTAGAAGAGTAAAATATGTTAGTGGTAAAGCCAGAACCGAATATGTTAGTTTACGTCCAAAGTAAAGAAAAAATATCAAATATAAGAATTGTCTTCTCTTCGCTTATATCGCCCTAATTTTATGTATAAGTAAGATTATATTTTTAATTCTGGATCTTTAATATATAAAAATGACTTATATTTGAAGTGTTTGATTTTTAAAATTTTTGAAATTAATGTCAGAACACTAGATTTCTCTTAAAAGTAAATTAGTAATTATATTTAAAAAATAAAATACACACTTTGGCAGTACAAATGCATTTATCATTTAATTGTTAGCATATGTTGTATATAGATATAGTTTTCTTACTAGGCAGATAATGTACATGCTTGCTAATGAAAGCTTTGTGTGTTTGGCACTTATTTTGCATGAATTATAATACTCTGTTTTACTAAAATATGGGTTAAAGCAAATATATTCAAGACAGTGTGCAAATGTGAATACAACAGATTCCAAATAGATGATTTTTTATTGATAAATAAATTTTAATATAAGTTTTACTCCAGTTTTACGAATCATCAAGATTTTCAACAGAAGGGCTTATTTATTTTAAACCTTAAGCAGTCTTTCTGAAACCTGAAAAAGATTTGTGAAAACAGCCTGCAATAAAAATCACACATGCTTCATAAAACACTGCTTGATAGATATCACTTGCACCATTAAGAACTAAACGACAAAGGATGTAATTTCAGTTCTGGCATGCAATATTAATCGAAAGCCTTTAAAACATCTTGCTGATGGGAACTATGACAACGTGACATTGAAGAATTATGAGCTAAAGACATCTATCTTAATCAGATTTTTGAAGTAAATGCCATAAAACATAAAGTTGTTTTGTTCATTGTTATATGTTTTGGTGGGAGCATCATTTTGTACTGTGTTGCTTTAAATGCAGAGACTGCAAAATCAGTACTTAAAAGTATGAGTTCAGTATACAGAGTTGAAGCAAATTTTAGTCAATACACTCTGCATACACAGGGAATTATTTCTGTAATAATGTATGTTCTTTCTATCTTTTATGCCAGTGATTTATCTTAAGCAAACACCCTAATTAAATGATATCAACAGATATTTTTGAAACATAATTATGTGTATATTTGCCTTTTTTTTTTTTTTTTTTTGAGATGGAGTCTTGCTCTGTCGCCAGGCTGTACTGCAGTGGCGCCATCTCGGCACACTGCAACCTCCACTTCCTGGGTTCAAGTGATTCTCCTGCCTCAGCCTCCTGAGTAGCTGGGATTACAGGCACCCACCAACACACCTGGCTAATTTTTGTATTTTTAGTAGAGATGGGGTTTCATCATGTTGGTCAGGCTGGTCTCGATCTCCTGACCTCAGGCAATCTGCCCTCGTGGTCTCTCAAAGTGCAGGGATTACAGGCATGAGCCACCACGCCTGGCTGTATATTTGCCTTTATCAATTTAGAAATGAAAATAGAATGCTTTTAAAGACCTCCCCATAGAAAGAAATTATCTTATAGATATACGAACACATAAACTTCTTTTTTCCTAAAAGAAATACGGTAAAAACTTCTATTACTTTATTTGAATAATTGAGAAAAACCTGAAAATTAAGCCCTTACATTAAAATAACACTTCACAGTTTATAAAAATACTTTGATATACAGTATCTCTTTTATTTCTCATAACATTTGCTTGTAAGATTGATTATTACCCCATTTTACAGGTGAGAATCTGGAATATTTACAATAGGAAATTGATGTATACAGTTACTAAGTTTGGGACAGGGAGCTTCAACTGTCCCACTGGGGACAGGAGCCCAGATGTTACAGGCTAAATGTTTATGTCCCCCAAAATTCAAATGTTGAACCTCTAATCCCTCGTGTGACTATTGGAGCTAGGGCCTCTAAGGAAGTAATTAAGGTTAAATGATGTCATCAGGTTGTAGGCCTGATCCTGTAAGATTAGCATCCTTATAAGAGACACAAGAGGGCTTGCTCTCCCCATCGCTCCCTTACTGTCTGCCTCACCTCAGCAAGAAAGCAGCCATCTGCAAGCCAGGGAGATAACTGTTACCAGAAACCAACTGACCCTGCCAGACCTTGATCTGTGACTTCTGGTCTCTAGAACTGTGAGAAAATAAACGTCTATTATTTAAGCCACCCAGTCAATGGTATTTTGTTATGGAAGCTTGAGCAGACCAATACATCACATCTTCTATACTCTTCACACTATATCCAATGTTTATTCATCTCTTCTATAGAATTTTAACAAACCGGCACTAAACTATTTGTAGACTCATGAAATAAAAGCTCCTAAGATCCATGAAACACTATCTTAGTCACTGCTTCTCTTCGAACCTTTGCTAGTGGCAGTGAACATCCTGAAGAAAGATGCAGGCTTCCAGTCTTAACAAATCATGTTTACTACTATTTTGGGCACAGTGGCTCATACCTGTAATCCCAGTGCTTTGGGAGGCAAAGATGGGAGGATCACCTGAGACCACAAATTTGAGACCAGCTTGGGCAATATACCAACACCCTCATTCTACAAAACATTTTTAAAAATTAGCTGAGGATGGTGGTGCGCGCCTGTAGTACTCGCTACTTGGGATGGTGAGGCGGGAGGATTCCTTAAGCCCAGGAGTTCGAGGTTGCAGTGAGCTATAATCACAGTACTGCACTCCAGCCTGGGCAACAGAGCATGACCCTGTCTCTTAAAGGTTCAACTAAGCCTTAGAAAATAGAGATGATGAATTTCCCAAACAATAATAGGACCTTACATTTCTATAGTACTTGCAGTTCACAGAGCATTGTCGTATACATGATCTTATTTTGATATTGGCCCTCGTGTACCCCATATTCAGTATTTTCAGGGTACCATCCTGCCTTTCATAGGTGCTCAAAGCAACATAAAAACATATGTAGGGAAGAGGCTTTTAGTGTTGTATACACACAAAAAAATACCCCCAAATTGTTAAAGATAGAGAAGGGAATTCAGCAGATACACATGTCTGTGTTAGCTTCGTCTATTACTCTATTTTCCTTTTAATCAAGGGTTATTATTACATGGGTTTGACTTAATAGATCACTCTCATTGCACATGCCAAGAATAGAAAGGACACAGTGGGTTCCATTGAAGTCCATTGCATCTACATATTTCACGTTTGTGATAATACATATCTCTGCCTAGAGGTCATAATATGATTGGAAGGCCACTTAAATGAAGATTTGACTTGGCTTTGATGTAAAACATTAAGAGACAGTAGGAACTTAATATAACTGCAGATTACAAATATGATGTCAAATAATATACTAGAAAAAATAACTGCAAAATTGATATATTTTTGAGAAACAAGATCAGTAGGGTTGTTTGGAACTTTATCTGTGTTACTCAATTATTTGTTTTTCCTGTAGTTGCTAAAATATTTAAGAAATAAAAATCAGAAAAAAGGCTCAAATAAAGCTGACAGAATTTTTTTGCTAAAAAATAATTTTTAAAATGCACTATAATTATCTTAATAACTTATAAAACAGATAAGTTTTCTTTAAAAAAAATTATTTTAAGAGACAGAGTCTCTGTTTCAGGCTGAAGCACAGGGGTGTGATCACGGCTCACTGTAGCCTCAACCTTCTAGGCTGAAATGATTCTCCCACCCCAGCCCCCAACGTATTAATAACTGGAACTACAGGCACATAACTCCATGCCCCCACTAATTTTCAATTTTTTTGTAGATGGCTGGGTGTGGTGGCTCACACCTGTAATCCCAGCATTTTGGGAGGCCAAGGTAGGCAGATCACCTGAGGTCAGGGGTTCAAGACCAGCCTGCTAACATGGTGAAACCCTGTCTCTACTAAAAATACAAAGAAGCCGGGCATCGTGGCAGACACCTGTAATCCCAGCTACTTTGGAGGCTGAGGCAGGAGAATTGCTTGAACCCAAGGGGGTGGAGGTTTCAGTGACCAAAGATCATGCCATTGCACCCCAGCCTGAGTGACAAGAGTGAAACCACATCTAAAAAAAAAAAGAAAAGGCCAGGTGTGGTGGCTAACACCTGTAATCCCAGCACCTTGGGAGGCCAAGGCAGGCAAATCAAGAGGTCAAGAGATTGAGACCATCCTGGCCAACATGGTGAAACCCCATCTCTATTAAAAATACAAAAAGTAACTGGGCGTGGTGGCAGGCACTTGTAATCCCAGCTACTTGGGAGGCTGAGACAGGAGAATCACTTGAACCTGAGGGGGTGGAGGCTGCAGTGAGCTGAGATCGCACCACTGCACTCCCACCTGTGTGGAAGAGCCAGACTCCATCTCAAAAAAATAAATAAAAAAAAATAAAAACAAATTTTTTTGTAGAGACAGATTTTGTAATGTTGCCCAGGCTGGTCTTGAAATTGTGGTCTCAAGTGATCTGCCCACCTCAGCCTCCAAAAGTGTTGGGATTACAGACATGGGCTACTATACCCCCAGTTTATTTTAAGCTTAAAAGATGTTTCCTAGCCTTTTACATAGTTATTTTTACAATTTTTTTTTAATTTTAACATTGAAATCTGAAATAAATTTAAATTTGATATAAAGTGATTTTCACTATATATATACCTTAAGATGTTAATAATTATAACACAAGATAATATGGATGTTTGTTTTTTAAATAAAAGTATTATTTTTAATGTGTTTAGTATAATATAATATGTTAGAGTATTTTATGACATGAGTTAATATGAAGTTTTCATAATATTTGAAGTAAAACCTTTTGTACTATCAATACCTTAAATGTTTTATATGTATAACTTAAGGTGATGTGATATGGTTCTTAATTACCTTAAATTTTAAATATAAGCTGTATTTTAAGATTTTATTATGTATTACCTAAAATAAAGAGAATTTTAAAATTGAAAACCTTCAGACTTCATTGCATGACTCTGATCCTGCTCTCCCCTTAGAAGTTAATTGATTTATATAGTTAGGTTTAGTTACAGTAAGTGTTCAGTCTTAGGTCTCCTGTTTCCTTTTGTAGTACTCTTGTATACCAGATATTTATTTGTGATGTTATCTAAAAAACAGCAAATTCTACATTGTTTGAACTATGTGATTTGCTTTCCTTACTTTTTATAAGCCACTTGTCACAATAATTTGCCTTCCACCTTGTCCTTATCTATATTACAAATATGTGTTTTATTTATATCATATTATATACTCCATTCAAAGTCAATAAAATTTAATTTCACTAAAATCAAATGCTCATAATGAAGTAATAAGGGGTGAGAAAAATGTTGATTGATTTATGTCTACTCTTTATTGTCAAGATTGGGACAGCGTCTTCCTTTTTTGCTTACTATCTCAGGTAAAATATTTTAAAATGGGTAGAAGAATATCCTGAAACATACACTGAGACATTTTAAAGGTATTTTTATCCAGTTTTTTATGCATGTATAAAAGATATGTTTTATATGTGTTTCTGTTAGAAATGATTTTGTAAAACTAAGAATTTCATAGCAAAAATGTGTGAGGCATTATTATGATTGACAAGATAAACTACTTTTACTATCAAAAGATAGCCATGTACACTTGTTTTCACCCACTGAAATACTTCAGGGTGCTTGACATTTAGATGAACTGCACACTTTGGAACAGCAACTGCTGAAGCCAGAATGTTATCATTGAAGAGAAGTTACTGCCATTCAAGAGAAGTTGCCTCTTAAATAGAAGATAACCAGAAATTCTGCTGTCCAGTAACAAGAAGAGAATAGCAGGGACCATTCATACTGGATGAGAAGGACATGAATAAATACATATTCTGTTCAATTTCACAATCATAAGCATGGTATTAGGAACTTTGGAGAAGGCTGTTTTAGGAACTCTAAAGAAAGCTCTATTCTTGCCTTCTAGAACTCCTACTGGATGTATATTGAGCTTTTTCATTCTATCTTTTTTTCTTTGAACTACTCATTTATATGTAAGCACTCTATCTGGTACTATCTGAATGATTTTCTCACATGTTTTCCAATTTAATGGTACTCCCTATAATTGTGTCCACTATACCATTTAAACAATCCAATGAGATTTTCATTTAAATGGCTGCATTTTTCCTATTTATAGACATTCTGCTTTTGTTAAAATGGTGTCTTATTTTTTTCATAGCATCTAATTCTTACGTTTTAAATATTTTTTGGTCCTTAAACATTCTGAACATACTTAGAGTTTTGTCTGACAGTTATACTTATCTGAAGTTTGGGGAAGACAAATTGCTGCTTTTTGTTTTGTCTGTAGGCTGTAGCTGAAGGTAGATTGTTTCCTATTAAAATTTGTAGTTTTAGACTATGAACTCATTGAAAGCAGGGTTTGATCATAGAAATCCTTTGTGACTTGGCTTGAGAGCATGTTCTTTTAAGAACATTTGCAGCCCGGAGCACAGTGGCTCACGCCTGTAATCTTAGCACTCTTTTGAGAAGCCTAAGTGGGTGGATCATGAGTTTGAGACCAGCCTGACCAACATGGTGAAACCCCATCTCTACTAAAAATACAAAAAATTAGCCAGGTGTGGTGGAGTGCACCTGTAATCACAGCTACTCTGGAGGCTGAGGCAGGAGAATCACTTGAACCTGGGGTGCAGAGGTTACAATGAGCCGAGATCATGCCCCACTGCATGCCAGCCTGGGTGACCCAGCGAGACTGTCTCCGAAAAACAAACACAAAAAACGTTTGATTTGCTTCTGCCAAGTACCTCAGGCAGAAGCATTGCTGACCCAAGACCACTTTTAATATTAATTTCTCGGCTTGGGGTTCCAGAACCATGATGATAGTTCAAGTTTTAATCAAATATTCCAGTCCCAGGGGGCCCAGGCTAATGGGTAAAATTTTCCTTTTATCAGAAAACAAACAAGTTGTTTAAGACAACATAGCAAGATTTCTTATGGTTCCCTTTGCAGTGAGAAAATTTTTAAAGTTTTCTGTTTGAATGAGGGCGTAATACTTCAAGGGTCCAGATTTACAAGTCTCAGTAACAGCTGAGACTTGTCCAGTCTTCTCCTTGTTCATTAAAAAGGTTACAGAGGGCTGGGACGATGATTCACACCTGCAATGTCAGCACTTTCGGAGGCCGAGGTGGGAGGAACACTTGAGCCCAGCTCTAGACCAGCCTGCGCAACATAGTGAAAACCTGTCTCTACAAACAATACAAAAATTACCTAGGTTTGGTGGCATGTGCCCAGTGATAGAGCGAAACTGTCTCAAAAAAAAAAAAAAAAAAAAAAAAGCATAAGGTTACAGAGACTGGCAGACCTCCTCAGGAAAGCTACAGTGCCACCTTACCTGTGCTTCACATTTTTTTCTCTCCCGTCTGCTTTTGGCTTATTCTTTCTTTCCAATTCAGTTCATTAACCCAAAGTGTAAGCTTCACAGGTAGGCTGAGATTGTTGGCTTTTTGTTCATGGCTAGGTCTTCAATGCCTAGAACAGAGCTTAGCATATAGTAAACACTCTATGAGAGTTTTTTGGATGAATTCATCCAAAAGGTGTTATATTTAACCCAACAATTCTGGGTGTTTTATATAGCAAGGAAGTTGGTAGGTAGGTATTCTAGATTGCTGCATTGTCTGAAGTAGAAGTACAGTAGAATCTCAAAAAAAAAGAACAGGGAGATCTAGATTCAGACTTTCATTATTTCTTCTAATTCTCAAATAATGACCCTAAAAGATGCCAAGCCAAATTCTCACTAACACAGTAAATACAGTGAATCAGTTCACCTGTGTTCACTTAAGTAATACCTTCTAGGCGGTGGAAGTCTTCCTTTTATGTCTTCTTATTTATCACCAAGGTATTTCATACTCAGTTTCTTTTTTATTTTTGAGACAGAGTCTTGCTCTGTCACCAGGCTGGAATGCAATGGAGTGATCCCGGCTCACTGCAATTACCGTTTTCCGGTTTCAAGCAATTCTCCTGCCACAGCCTCCCTAGTAGCTGGGATTACAGGCACGCACCACCATGCCTGGCTAATTTTTTGTATTTTTAATAGAGATAGGGTTTCACCATGTTGGCCAGGATGGTCTTGATCTCTTGACCTCGTGATCCGCCCACCTCGGCCTCCAAAAGTGCTGGAATTATAGGCATGAGCCACCATGCCCGGCGCTCACTGTCTTTTTATAAATAGTTTTACAATCAATTGATGATAAAGGTCTTAAGAACAATAGTGTTTACTTATATTGCATCTTAATTTTCAAAACACATTTTGAAATTTCATTTGATTTACAGGCAAGTAACAGACAGGGTGGTGAAAATTTTTACACAGTACTGTATTTTAACCAACGGCTTACAGAGGTATTTAAATGGAAAACTCACTTTCAAACACTGGGCTTGTGTGAGAATTCTAGAAAAAATAATGAACTAGAGCAACTGGTTTATGTGAAGGTGATTTTCTAAGTAAAATGAGGTCTTTTTTCTAATTTTCATCATACCATTTTAGGTGGTTATATTATTAATGTAATATTTGAGGGGCTGGAGTGGAAAAGGAAAGGAAAAAAAAAAACCCAGAGTATCTGTTTTTGTTTTAGGATGTGCTTCACAGACTTTGTAATGTGACTATAAGCACATATTTCCTTAACTGAAGTTTTCTCCATTTATAAGAAAAATTCTTGCTACCTAATTTTTTTCCTTCAGAGGGAAATAATGAGTACTAAATGTCTGCAATGTGTGTGAGATTTTCTGGACAAAAGAGGCATTTTGATGATAATTTACTGTTTTCAGTGTCATGAAAACTTTGAATTTATAATACCACCTTTCTAATAGCTCCTGAAATGTAACCAAATCAGGGAAGTGTGGTTACCTAGAGTTACCTAAATATAGAAAATCAAGGAGAAGCAATTTCCGGAAAGCCTCAGAGTTAGTTGATAATGAAATAAGAGATTAAGCTACACCAATAATGAGATTGGGATTTTCAAAATCAAAAGCTAACTCTTGTTTTGTCCTTGTACACATGGAAGATTCACTTGAGGCTCTGGCCACTGTGGTTAAAAGAGTTGGGCGTAGTGGCGTACTCCTGTAGTCCCAGCACTTTGGGAGGCTGAGGCAGGTGGGTTACCTTAGGTCAGGAGTTCAAGACCAACCTGGCCAACAGGGTGAAATCCTGTCTCTACTAAAATTATAAAAAATTAGTTCAGGTGCAGTGGCTCACGCCTATAATCCCAGCACTTTAGGAGGCCGAGGTGGGTGGAACATAAGGTCAGGAGATTGAGACCATCCTGGCCGACACAGTGAAACACCATCTCTACTAAAAATACAAAAATTAGCTGTGCATGGTGGCACGTGCCTGTAATCCTACCTACTTGGGAGGCTGAGGCAGGAGAGTCACCTGAACCAGGGAGTCAGAGACTGTAATGAGCTGAGGTCATGCCACTGCACTCCAGCCTGGTGATAGAGTGAGACTCTGTCTCAAAAAAAAAAAAAATTTAGCTGGGCGTGGTGGCACACACCTGTAATCTCAGCTACTTGGGAGGCTGAGTTAGGAGAATCGCTTGAACCTGGGAGGTGGAGGTTGCAGTGAGCCAAGATTGCACCGCTACACTCCAGCCTGGGCCACAGAGCAAGACTCTGTCTCAAAAAAGAAAAAATTCATATGATAGTAAAATATACAGAAACAATAAGAGTTTTAAACAATTTTTTGTGATGACTTGTTTTTAAGAAAAAGGTCAATTTTGAAGAAGACTTAAGTTTTGTTTGAGACAAGAGAAAGTAAAGATATAGCCAGGAAGTGATGTGAAAATGAATTTTAGGATACAGAAATGAAGACTTCAATCCCATCCTTTTCTAATCATCCGTTAAGTATGTTTGGCTCCTTTTAAATGTTTGTCAAGTTGAACAATTGAAAAGGAGCTGACAGAATCTGGTTTACTACCTTTAGGGTCATTCTTCAAGGATTGGAAGAAATAACCAAAGACTGAATCAAATCTTCACATTCTCCTTTTCTTCTGAGAGTCCCGTATACCTTCTGTTGTAGGCAACGTGGCAACCTAGATTACCTGACAACTCCCTTGCTATGTAAAACAATATGTGTATCATATTGTGAACTCTTTGAGGACCAAGACCAGGGCATATTCATCTATTCCACTTGCTATCATTATTATTCAGGAGAAAGGAAGCCACATGCTGATGAATGAATGCTCATTAGGTGTTTTGTATAACGGTGTCTCCAGGATCTCTCACAGTTTTGTGAAATTAAAACTGTTTCTGTTTTCTCTGTCTCTCTGTCTGTCTACCTCCACCCAGTTTCTGTCTGCCCCTGTCTGCCTTCCTTCTTCTATCTCTCCATCTTCCTTTCTCCGTCCCTGCATGCCTCCATTTGTCTTTTGATGACTGACTTTACTCAAACTGCTGTTATTCTAAAGCGGCATCGCTGTCCGCCCTTAGCATCCATGTCCCTTCCAAATCAGGGTATTTGTTCCCTGAGGACCTGGGGAGCCAGGCCACATGGAGATCCAGGGAAGGAGGGGAAGGAGAGCAGGGTGAAGGAAGTGGGTGGGGCAGAGCTGTTGGAGTCACTGCAGTGACACCTTTCCCACTGTGCACACCTGCTGAAAGCGAGTGCCGGCCCATTCTCCTCCTTTCCTCTCATCTCACACGCACCTTTTACTTCGTCCCACATGAACAGAGCACACACATACAAATGCAGACATACACTCACACAAAGATACTTTTATCTCACAGCAGGCATTATTTTCTTTCCCAGCTTTCCTGTCTGAAAGTCCATTTCCACTCTGCTCCCTGAAGACCACGGCCCAAGGCCGTAAACCAGGAAGGAGCTGGAGCTGAGTTGCACATAGCAGTGTGGGAGCTGCCAGCAGTAGCTTTTAGTCTAAAAAACAAAAATGAAGCCAGATATGCATTTTTTTTCTTGGCATGATTCTGTGGTCATACTAGCTAGGAAAAAGGAAAAGGTTACTAAGCCTAACTTCATGACTGTGAGATCAAATTCCTTCCTGTGTGGGAACTGGCAAGAGATTAGTTTTTTATTCTTATCACATGTCCTTTTTGCATATTTTTAATTTTTATTTTTTTGTAGAGTCAGGGTCTTGCTATGTTGCTCAGGCTTGTCCTGAACTTCGGGCCTCATACAATTTTCCTGCATCAGCCTCCCCAGTGATAGGATTATAGGCATGAACCACTGAGCCTGGCCCTATGACATTTCTGATTGTAATTTTCCTACCTCTTAAAGCACTTTTTTGTCTCTACAAAAAAAATTATAAATTAGCTGGGCATGGTGGCATACAGCTATAGTCTCAGCTACTCAGGAAGCTGAGATGGATGGATCGCTTGACATCAGGGGTCTGAAGCTATGGTGAGCTCCAATTGCACCACTGCACTTCAGCCTGGGCAACGCAGCAAGACCTGACAATTAATTAATTAAGCAAACATATTTCCTCTTCAGATGTTTTTGCTTGTGTGTTTTTACTTCTGGTGACCATGGTATTAGTTACTGACAAGGCTCTTCAGTTACTTTATTTTTCCTCATGATGTTCTGCCCTTGTTTCTTCCCTGTTGTTTGTTGTTGTTTTTTTCTTCCAAGACAGAGTCTTGCTGTTTTGTCCAGACTGGAGTGCAGTGGTATGATCTCGGTTCACTGTGACCTCCACCTCCTGGGTTCAAGCAGTTCTCCTGTCTCAGCCTCCTGAGTAGCTGGGATTACAGGTGCACACCACCATGCCCAGCTAAATTTTGTATTCAGTAGAGATGGGGTTTCACCATGTTGGCCAGGCAGATTTCGAACTCCTGACCTCATGATCCTCCTGCCTCAGCCTCCCAAAGTGCTGGGATTGCAGGCATGAGCCACCGCACCCAGCCTCTTCCCTGTTCATAATCACAGTTTCCAGCTAGGTGTGCACTGCACTCCAGCCTGGTCTGCGGGAGCAAGACTCCATCTCAAAAATAAAATAAAAATTAAAAATCAATCATAGTTTCCATTTGACACTTACGTCAGGCACTATGTTTTTTTGCATTCTTTAAACAAGCACTGTCAAAGTGAGGCTCAGAGAGATTAAGTAATTTATGTAAGAAAATATCCCATGGAAAGTAAATATCCCGTATTCATTGTCATGTGTCTCAATGGCACCTCTCACCTCTCATAACAGCGGAGTTGCTATCTAGGGAGTGACCAGCAGTTTCTCTTCTTCTCCATTCAGAGTCCCATGAATAGGCCTCACATTTGCTTGGAATTGGGGGCCTGTAAGCTGCTTACACTGGGATCTGCCCTCTGTCCAATAGCTCCTAGCATTTTCCTGGTATGGTAGTCAACCTACTTTATTTAGTGTACACCATGATTCAGGTTCTTAACCCATGCTAGCAAGTCTAACATGGGAACAGACTGCCTTAAATGGCGCTGTTGAAGAGCTAAGCTCTTTGATGGTAAAGGGAGGAGCAGAATGACTACAGTCTTCACTATATCACTATCTAATTGCTATGATTAATGTGAGTTTTCAAAAAACATCTTAAATAAATTTCATTCAACATATTAAAAACCTGCAACTGTTTTACAAAAAGTCTGATACTAATTTCATTCAACATATTAAATAAAAACATGCAACTGAAGTTATATGAGCAATAAGGACCTTGATAAAGGAAAGGCAGGTGGAAAGAAAGACTGAACTTTATAATAAAGGCGCTGGTTGGGTATGATGCGTGATTTCTCATGACCATCGTACCAAGAATATAATTTTCAAAAAGGTATAGAGGAATATTTTGAAAAAATAATCTATACCTTTTCTAAAATATCCAGAGCATTGCTAATCATAAGCTTAAAAAATTAATTAAAGGAAAACTTTATATTTGGTAAAATGTAATTTTTTAGATTAGTATATCTTATATTTTATATATTGTATACTTTATATAATCTTTATATTATTCACGTATCTTAAAAGGTAAATTTAAAATATCAGAACATTTGTTAAAGTTCCAAAGAAATATTCCTAAAATCCAGCCTTTGGGGTGGGTGGCATGGTTCCTTGCTTGAATGAGATGACCCCTTAAGGTGCTATTGTTATATAAATGTCGTCAATCAATCAGCATATTCTTGGGAGTCCCTGAAGTACAGTGCTTAGTGAAAGTACCAGAAAATCCAAAGAAATTTAAGTTAGAGTCCTTTGAGGATCTAAGAGTTAAGTTGGGGAAATACAACGTATTTACAAATTACCTTATAGTTAAAGGCAGTATGGACAAGCTCAACTTTTTACTACTTCCCCACTCTCTCATTGAATTCTTCACAAATAGTCATTCTATTTTGTAGTTATTTATTGAGTTTATTTATTGTCTATCCTTGTGTGGTCCTTGGAGCTCAAAGGTGAATCGCATGTGAATCCTGCCCGTGGGGCGCTGAGCAGGGAACATGAGCTCTACAGCATTAAATCTAGCGCAGAGGAAAGCGAATAGAGCCATGAAAAGGGGACAGATAAAATAAGGAGACTCAAAGGAGAGATAAATGGTTTCTACCTGGAGAAAACAGAGGTGGCGTCACCTTTCTTAGCTCTTGAAGTAATTTGGATTTGGAGATAGAAAGATGGAGGACAATGTCTTTCCAGAAAGAAGCAACCGTGCCTAAGTGGAAAGGTGTGAGGCATGGAGTGGCTGCAGCAGGCTTGGCTAGAACAAGGGATATGTGAAGAGGATACACGAGGAGAGTTTGCAAAAACATATTTTAGGATATCCGTGACCAAATACAACATTCAGCTTTAGAGTTCATTTTAAGTTGGATAGGTACTAGAAAACCATTTGGAGTTTTCTCAGAGTAAATCGACATGTTCAGAGGTATATTGCAGGAATATTAAACCTGGTGACTATGTGAGGTCTGACTGTCCCATCTATAACTCAAAGTCATTATATCCAGAACGTTTTTTCCATCTGTATACCCATGAATTTGTCTAAAGTGAAAGGAAGCAGTGGCTGTTGTGGTGGTTCCTGTGTGGATCTGCCCAGCTGTGTTAGATTCTTAAACACTTTTGTAGTCTCCAAGTCTAGACCCTATTCTTTTTCCTTGTGACCATTTTGAACCTTGGTCATAAAAACTTCCCTGGATATTCAATTGTTCTTCGTGTGAGGACTTAAAAAGAGCAAAGCACAGTGCCCGTAATCTCAGTACTTTGGGAGGCCACAGCGGGAGGATTGCCTGAGCCCAGGAGTTCAAGACTGGCCTGGGAAACAGAGGGAAACCCCATCTCTACAAAATTATATTTTAAAAAATTAGCCAGATGTGGTGGCACATGTCTATAGTTGCAGCTACTGAGGCAGGAGGATCACTTGAGGTAGGAGGTCGAGGCTGCAGTGAACTGTAGTCACACCACTGCACTCCAGCCCAGAGAACAGAGCAAGACCTTGTCTAAAAAAAAAAAAAAAAAAAGAAAAGCAACTTAAAATGTTCTCTCTATTTTCAGTAACAGAAATAATGTGAAAAATAGTAATGTTTTTTCATGAGCAAACTTTTTGATCTTAAAAATACTCTGACTCATACAACTGATCTTGTTTCCCTCTTTGTGTTGGCAAGTATATTATTTAAAGCCAGATTTGTGTTCCTTTTTGGAAATGTATGGTACTATACGGTAGGCATTTTGTCCACTAACCTGAAATCTGGCTTTATCATATCTTTCCCACTTTTATTTTTACTGTATTCTATCTTTGTTTTTGGCAGTATTGAACTTTTATCTTATTATACTTGGTATACTTATTCTATCTTGAGTAAATTGGTACAGATAAATACATACTCCAACTACTTCTTACGTTTTCTAAGCCCAAATCTGTAGACCTAGCATTGACCCTAACTGAATCCTTGGATTTAGCTTCTGTTTGTGGTCTGCTGCAGAATTTAAATTTCTGGCCAGGCCAGGCGCAGTGGCTCATGCCTGTAATCCCAGCATCTTCGGAGGCCAAAGTGGGAGGATCACTTCAACCCAGGAATTCGAGACCAGTCTGGGCAACATAGTGAGACCTCATCTCTACAAAAAATTTAAAAATTAACCAGTGCGACGGGTCACTCTTGTGGTCCCAGCTACTCAGGAAGCTGAGGTGGGAAGATCTTCTTGAGCCTGGGAGGTCAAGGCTGCAGTGAGCTGTGATTATGTCACTGTACTCCAGCCTGGTCAACAGAGCAAAACCCTAGCTCAATAAATAAATAATAATTTAAAAATTTCTGGCCATCCACCCTATATCATTCAGACTTTGCATGTATTCTCTTCCACCAAACTTTAGATTGAACCTAGCTTTCATCACCTAGACTCGTTTTATTGGTAGGCCTCCTGATTGTGTAGTCAACTCAAGAGGTGCCAGTTAACACAGCACACTGCTGCACTGGCCTGGGTAGACCATTGGCAAGAGCGTGGATCCTTGCTGTATGGTGTCTTGTACACTGTAAGTTCTCAGAAGACATTTGCAAACTGAAGACATGTACCTAGGGAAAGCCACAGCAGCATATTTTTGCCTTAATGGAAGTTTTTCCCAGTGGTTATGTTTTTATTTATTTTAGGAATAAGAATTCTAAATTCAACATATTGAAACATGATGATAATGGATCTTAAAATCATTTCACTTTCAGTAACAGTGTTCGTGTCCATAATGCTTTATTTTACCGTTTACACAGTGCTTTCATTTATGACTGACTTAGCAGATTCCTGGAACATAAAGGCTAGAAAATGTATTTGGGATGAATGGCTAAGTGCATGATGAATAAATGAATGAGTGGGTGCATTTTATTGAATCCTTAAATTGCACTAAGACTCAGATGGGGCAATAATATTTCTCATATTACAGGTGAGAAAACTGAGGTTTACTATCATGATGTCTGACAGAATCAGGACTTAAATTTATAATTACAACTTCTAATGTTCTGCTCTTTACATAGTGTATTATCTAATATATAATTTCTTCTATATAACATGGCGCCATGGAGTCATCTGACCCATACCTCTGCTTCTTTTTAGGCAGAATCTTGTTACTTTCTGCTTAGAAACATTTCTCCCTGTTCTCTCTTTGTTCCTATTCCATTGACACCAACCTAGTCTAGGCTATCATAACTATAGCTTGTTTCGGATGTGCTATCAGCAGCTTCTTGAAATATACCTTAAAAACATTTGCCGGGCGCAGTGGCTTACACCTGTAATCCCAGCACTTTGGGAGGCCAAGGCGGGTGGATCACAAGGTCAACAGATGTAGACCATCCTGGTCAACATGGTAAAACCCCATCTCTACTGAAAATACAAAAAATTAGCTGGGCATGGTGACACATGCCTGTAATCCCAGCTACTCAGGAGGCTGAGGCAGGAGAATTGCCTGAACCCAGGAGGTGGAGGTTGCGGTGAGCCAAGATTGCGCCATTGCACTCCAGCCTGGGTAAC